CGGCTGATGCCTGCGATGACCGGTCCCTGGAATTCGTTCGGGGCTATAACTTCCACAGACATGATCGGCTCAAGAACACACAACGTTGTATTTGCCAAGGCTGTGTTAAGATAAAAAAGTTGTCATTAACCAAACTCCCTCTCTCCCAAAGGTACACCTTGTCGACTGGTCTTGACTCATTACAAAACTGTCAAAGGACGATTCGAACAAATTTGTTGGCTTAAGCTTTATTCATTTAGTTTTCTATCACCCTACCTGGCTGCTGAGCCTGCGCTGATGATCTGGCATGGGAGGCAGGGCGAGCTCACCTTGTTTGAGAGCACCTTCTCCAGCTCGGATGAAAGAGATCTCATTGGAGTCAACCATGTGGTGAGCTCCATCTTGTAGAACAAACCGGAGCCCAGAGAGCTTGTGACCAGAAAGCGGGCCCTTCTCACAGGCGTCCAGAAAGCCCTGCCAATGACGAAGACAAGTGGGCACGAGTGGATTTCACTACAGATGAATGCACAACACCCAGGCAGCTCGTGGTGGTCAGTGTGACAGGGAGATGTGTGCTATGCTTCATCTCTAGAAAAGCCTTAAAGGAAACTCTTCACCACTCTCAAGTTTCACCACAGCAGCATCGGGAGGCACAGTCCCTGGAAAAGCTCCCTCTCACGGGAGGGAACCGGCTGGAAAGGCACACTGAGAAAGCGAGCGATCCTTCTCATCCCTCAACCTCAGGGGCTGCCCAGCGCTCATGCCCCGTCGCAGAGGCAATGGACAGACAACCTGGAAGACAACCTAGACCTGTGCCTGTACAGCAGCCTGCGCGGCTGCTCTGCCTGGCTGGCCACTGGTGAGCAACACGGGGTCAGGGAGTTATAGCTAAGAGGCGTCAGCTTTACTGAGGTGTAACAGATACATACGCCACAGATATCTAAAGTAAGTTTGATAGGTTGCAATTTTTTTTCCAGCCATTCTAGCTGCCCCTCAAGTCCATGGTATTTCTGGCATTTCAGAAGTGTAAGTGATGTGTGCTGAAGATGGAAGGTGTCCTTGTACGTTAACCCTGGAGAAATCAGACCATCTAAGTGTGGATAACACAAGTATTTTCTTACCATGAGAGTAGAGTGAATAGGGTACATCAACCGCGAAAAATTCTACCACCATTAAAAAAAATTATAATCAGTTCAGAAAGATTTTTAAGTTAAAAAGTAAACAAAAGCCAGGAACTGGTGGCTCATGCCTGTAATCCTAGCTACTCATGAGGCTGAGACTCAAAGGATCACGGTTAGAAGCCAACCTAGGTAGGAAGGCCCTTAAGACTCCATCTCCAAAATAGCCAGCTGAAAAGTTGGGGTGGAGGCATGGCTCACATGGTAAAGTACCAGCTAAGCTATCAAGCCAAATGCATTTTGAGGCCCTGAGGTCAAGCCCCAGCAGTGAAAAAACAAAACAACCCAACCCCTCAGTCCATATGAACAAAAGAACTGTTTAAGGAATACAATGGCCTTAAAACAAGTGGTCTGAAAAGCAAAGAAAGCATCAGTGCCTGCAAAGCACTTTCCAATTCCCACAGATATTACTTGTATCTGCTGTCCACTTGGTGTGGGTGTTAAGTGTGGGTGAGGACCTGGGATTCAGCCCCAGCATCACTGTAGGAAAAAAATAGAACACACAAAACTTCCATGAAGCTGGGAGCCGGTGGCTCATGCCTATAATCCTAGCTACTCAGTAGGCTGAGATCTGAGGATCGCAGTTCAAAGCCAGCCCAGGCAGGAAACTCCGTGAGACTCTTATCTCCAATAAAACCACAAGAAAACTGGAAGTGGTGCTGTGGCTCAAGTGGCAGAGCACTCGCTTTGAGCTGAAGAGTGCAGGAACAGCGCCCAGTCCCAGAGTTCAAGCCACACAACCGGAAAACAAAACAAAACAAAACAACAACAACAACAAAACCCAAAAGACAAAACAAAAAAACTTCCATGAATCCTGGAAGACCTCTGCAAATCTTACATGCTGACTACACTGAGTGGTAGCAGCTTCCACAAGCTGAAGAGAGATGGTGCGCGGGACGAGGAGGCAGAGGGACTGGGTGCAGGATGAGGAGGCAGAGGGGAAGCTGGCAGAGCACCACCGCAGGGCAGGTGTTCAGTTAATGACTTCATGCCGAGGACCCCAAGTCAAAGGGAGAGCCCAGCAGCTAAAGATGCAGGATTGTTACCACAATGATCCAGGCCCACGTGATCGGAGGTAACAAGCTGGTGTTAAACAGATAAAATTGTGAAAGCCTGGAGACGTTTACCTTTTCTATAGCAGGCACAAACTGCTTTGGAATGTTCGCCCCGAACGTCTCATCGGCAAACTCCAGCTTGGTGTAGTTGTCCGGGTCCAGGGGCTCCAGCACACCTATCACCTTCCCAAACTGGCCTGCACCGCCAGACTGCTTTTTGTGTGTGAACTCAAACCTGAAGTGTTAGGAAGGAGAAAAACCAAAGCAAGGAAAAGATGAATATAAGGAGCGTACCATACAAGTTTACTGTACAAGTTTAAAAAGGTCTCTCTTAAAGGTAGATGAATACAGCCATACTATTCAATGTTCACGTGTGAAAGCGGAATCAGGCAAGCTGAAGGGTGGGAGAGATGGGCAAGGATGAAGCGGTGATGCTCATCAAGATGCACTGCACTCACAAACAGCCATGTTGAACAGAAATCCCTCTGCAGGACTACTTGAAAATAGAAAAACAAATTCTTCTCTTGCTTTTCTGGGACTGAATGGGGGACCCACACACCTAAACAATCCAGTTTTTAATTCTACTGATTTTGAATTTCAAAAGAGTAATGAAAAGGTAAGTTCAGGGTAGCTGGGTAGGTGGCTCAGTGGTAGAGCGCTTGCCTTACATGCATGAGGCCCTGAGTTCGATTCCTCAGCACCACATAAGCAGAAAAAGCCAAAAGTGGCTCTGTGACTTAAGGGATAGAGTGCTAGCCTTGAGCTGAAGAGCTGAGGGACAGCGCCTGGGCCCAGAGGTTCAGGGTAAGGCTGTCGTCTCCCAGTACAGTGGAAAGCACTCCCCTGTTCTGCAGGAGCCTCCCTCCTGGCTGCCGCTTCTCCTGGATCTCTGCCATGGAGGACAGTCACTGAGGTGAGAACTTCCACCACAGCTTCTGTCCCCCACACTTCCCACTTGATTTACCTACTCCAGCACCACAGGTTCTAATCAACACCCCAAAACAACTAGGGTCCCAAGGACAGTAACTAAGATGTCATCCGAAGACTGGGCCAATGGCTGCTCCACACAGTGAATGGGATCCTAAGTGGAACAGGTATTTTACATATATGTTAAACAAGTGAACACAGCTGCTATTTTACAGGAAAGGCGTATTGTGAAATATACTGTCTGCAGGCCATTTCTTCTTTGACCTGAAACTGTCTCTCAAGTCAGGAAGGCAGAAGAGGCTAACCACTTTCAAGTGTTGGTGGTGAAGGCAGGGAGATTTATCACACACAAGGACCGGGGAGCAGCTGGGAGGAAGTAAACTCGGGCGTGGGCACGGGCCTCTGTGGCAGCCAGGAGGAGGTGAGTCCAGAACAGCTGGGTGTGAATGTGCCTTGTAATCAACTAGTGGTCAAGGGCTTCAGGGTGGGCTGCGGGAAGCCAAGTCCCAGGAGGGAAGAAGGCTGAGCGTAAGGACCTCCAAACCCATGGACACTCAGGTGTTGTCCCAGGTGCAGCAAAGCCGCCCTGTGGTCAGACCGTAGGTGTGTTGTGAGGAACGCTGTTTCACTAAAACATCATGACACATCAACATTATGTGAACCTGGAACTGTGCTTGTTTACCTCTAATTTTTTTTTTTTTTTTTTTTGCCAGTCCTGGGGCGTGAACCTAGGGCCTGGGCACTGTCCCTAAGCTTGGTTTGCTCAAGGCTAGCACTTTACCACAAAAGCCACAGTGCCACTTCCAGGTTTTTCTGTGTATGTGGTACCGAGGAATGGAATCCAGGGCTTCATGCATGCTTGGCAAGCAGTCTACCATGAAGCCATCTTCCCAGCCCTTGTTTTGATATTATAGTCATGCCACAATTGCAAGCCCTAGATATCTGATGTTCATGCAGTTACAGTGGAATTTACCTGAGCCTAGAAACCCACAATAATTGTTCCTTGAAAGTCAATCTGTTAATCGGGTCTGAGAATAATGGCTGAACGGGACACCTGGCGTCTAAGCACCCAGTAGGGAATGAGGTCCTCTCAATACCGTTAGCAACATCTACACAGGCACCAGCTTTCCCTTTTGATGTAATGATCACATCTGGAAGCCAATGAGGCTGCTCGGCCATGCTCCATTCATGCCACAGCCTGTGGCACTGGCTTTCACCTAGAGAGCTCCCCTCCCCCATACTTCTCTGCATACAAGGCAGATGTTACCACAAAGTTCTGAAACTTAAAACCTCGCTGCCAAGCAGAGTGCTAGCTCATTCGTATGCACTCAGCCTTTCTCTCCTGGACACTCTCCAATGAGCACTTCATTTAAAAGATTCACACACACAGACACACACAGACACACACCCCTATTCCAGGGTAGAGGACGGGTCCTGGCCCTGACTGGGAGGCAGCTAACCTTCACCGGTGACCTCCTAGCAGAAAGGTGAGCAGGGCCATCTTCAATCACAATAAAATGCTACTTGGCACAGCACGACCACGGCTCCGCCCTCCCCCCAGGCCTCCCAGCTGACGGAGGGGGTAGGGGCAGCCACCACGCAGGCCCCTCTCCCGTGCCCCGGGTGTGGACGGCGTGGGCAGCGAGGTTAGGACACACGGGGCCGGGGCGCACACACCGGTGTCGTGGGGAGACCGAGGCCCTCGGGGCGATCACGTTTTCCGGTCCGTGAGGGCGCAGAACCGCCCCGCACCTCCAGACCCAGGCGCCGCCTCGCTGGAGCGGGCGGGGCCGCCTCCCAAGGAGCGGGCGGGGCCTGGGAAGGGCCGTGGCCTACGCGGGAGCGGGAGGAAGGGGAGGAAGGGGAGGGCGCCGAACGGCACGCACGCGCCCGGCCCTGCCCAACCCAGCCAGGCCCGGGGACACCCAGCGCTTGCCTCGACCCCGCCACACCCGTCCAAGCGCGAAAATGGAGCTTCCGCCCAGCCACTCGGCGGCCTCCAGGGCGGCCTCGGTGGCAGAGAGCTGCGTCAACTACCAGCAGGGCACCCCGCACAAGCTGTTCCAGGTGCGGGCGGTGGAGCAGGCGCGCCGGGAGGTGAGCGCACGCGGGGCCTCCGCCCCGGGGCTGGGGACATCGGGAGGTGAGCGCAGGCGGGGTCTCACTCGGGGTCTGGGGACCCGCAGGAGGTGAATGCACGCGGGGCCTCCACCCGGGGTCTCCTCTTGCTGAGGCTCGCTCCTGGGACAGTCTGGGGAGGGACAGGCTGGGGACAGTTTGCGTTGCAGTTCCGGAGCTGTTTCCACCATAAGGCAGACACACGCGAGATTGTATGCACGCTCCGGGCGGGGTGGGAAGATACAGAATCGCATGTGGGCTGAGGCTGGCCTGGCCACACACAGCATGCCCCAGTGAGGAACAAAATACCCATGACAGGGCTATTAGCGTGGCTGGGATTTGAGACACCCTGTTTCCACTTCTCTGTTGCATAGACTGCCAGAGATTTCATTCCAGATTGCACCAGGTAACACAAGGGAGTCGTCTCCACGTATATCCCTTGATTTAAAGGCTGAATAGCTAAATGCCTGTCTTACTCTTGTAAGAACTGTCAGGTGGAGTGAGACAGAAGAGGTACTCAGGCCCAGCAGGCTTCCAACACTTTCAGCCATCTGCCTGGAGGCGGACTCGATATTCACTGACAGAGGCTACACTGCTCTAAGAAAAAGCTGCCGCACAATTTCCTACCCACCCACTGGTGACAGCCTTCTAGTGGTCATGAGCTGTGCCTAGTGTACGTGTGTACTTCTGTCCTCACTGCGGTTCCATCCACATTGCACCTGGCCCCCAAACCTGCTGAATTAGGGGGTACACATCTGGTGACATGCCTTTTCAAAGACACCAGGTTTTCATCTTTTCTTCCCACTTGCCAACTTCCCGACCAAAAGGCCTTCTAATGATGCAAATACCCGATTTATTACAGTACTTCCTTCTCTCTATCCCATTCTCTTTATTTTAGGATCTTCCAGGAAGAGGGCACAAGTATCACATTAAATTTTCTGTGGAAGAAATTATCCAAAAAGTAAGTAGGATGCCCTTTTTAGTCAAACATTTGCCAGCTTCTTTGCTTAGGGGTTTAAATTATTGTGAAATCCCAGATTTTTATAAAATACTGACCAAGTGAGCTACGCTTATGTGAGTCTGTATTATGAGTTATTTCTATTAAGCCACTTTGCAATCTGTCCTTCATTTGGAACAGTATACTCAATAAGAAGTCTGAACTTCTACCTCCTGGAGCTAAGTGAGTTTACTCTCCGGTCTTCTGACTTTCTACTTGATTTTGGTTAGGTATTTAACCAAAGTTAGTGCTTCTAAACATTAGGAAGCAATGGCCAACTTATACCACTGTTAGGGCCTTTTCATAAGCAGGCAAAATTTTAAAGTTTATACACCTGTCAAGTTATTAATGAGACAAAACTACCATGCGCATGTTGATGTGTTAAAGAACTTGCCCCCTTGTGTGTGGTTCACAAGAGATACATGCTACCATGAAGAATTCATGAGGCCTCTGAGCTGTTGGCTAGACAAAGCCAAGTGCTACAGTCTTATCTACCTGTATACCGTCGGGCTAGTTTTATACCTAGTTATAAGCTGCTGTATCTTCATTTAGGAACAGAGTAAGAATAATAGAAAAACTAAAGTAAGCAGTCTTGAGTTAATATATGACAAGAAACTAAAATTTAGTTTTACCATAGACATTTTTAGCCTATTTAAAGTTTCAGGATTAGAATTTACAAGATTAGGAAGCCTAGTAAGTGATAAATGTTAAGTTATCTATTTTAGGTTACCTTCCTGATACCTTTAGAAAACTTAACAGTTGTTAAGCCCAACTAGATACCTGGGAAAACAAGCTCTCTGAAGTCAAGTCTGAAACACTGTTAGAGGCCTATCTAGGAAAACATCCAGAGTAAAGGTCCTTTGTAAAAAATGTTTCAAACAGCAGGTTACAGTGAACTGCACGGCCGAGGTGCTTTACCCGCCACCAGGACAGGACATTGCACCCGAGGTCAACTTCACATTCCAAGGGGGCATCGGAGAGAACCCAGATGAGGAAGACAACAAGTTTTACCAGACCCTCAAGTCCACAAAGGAACCACTAGCAGCACAGAACATTCCAGGTAACACACATGGTGTGACAAAGTATGGTTTTCAACCTCAAGATTAATCCCCAGAGTGCTAGCCTGGCCAAGTACGAAACAACCCCTGAGTTCAAAACTCCATACTGACAAAGGAAGGAAAATAGCTTAATCTCGATTATCTATGCTTAAAATTGCTAGACAGAGCTATGTTAGAGATAGGATGGCTTTTGCAAAAACATTCATCACTAGTCTCATCAAACACAAGAAGGAACTTTGAAATTTTATGGATCTGTAGCTTTTAATTATTTTTGGTACCCATTCGAAGAAAACTAAAATATGGAAATTTAGCCTTTTCCTTTAAGAAAAAAAAGAATTTAGCATTGATTTCTAAAATACATTAATATTGTATATTCAAAGTAACTTATCATATGAATGTTTCTCTCACCAGACAATTTTGGAAATGTACCTCCACAGATGAAGCCTGTTCAACACTTAGCCCAGGTTGCCTGTGGTTATATAATATGGCAGAATTCAACTGAAAATACATGGTATAAAATGGCAAAAATTCAAACTGTCAAGCAGGTGGTAAGTGATCTCTTATCAAGCACACTCTCGGCAGTGCTGGCATTGATGACACGTGCTTCATTTGTTCCACATGCCATCTAGGGAACCAGGTTTTCTGAGGGAGTGGCCAGTCAGTCAAGACCCAGGGCAGAGTTGTAGAAAGAGTGCAAAGGTCACACATTTGACTAGGAGATGCAAAGCCCACGCCTCCCTTGCTCAGTGTGTCTCCAGTAACTGGGCTGGGTTAGTTTGCATTCCCCAGCACTAGAGAAAGGAAGCCAGGGCTGCAGGAACATTTTTGGTGGAGAGCGGCTTGGCGGTGCTCTTGAAGCACCAGGGCAACCATGGAAATGAACCTTTTATGTTCAGCAAGCTGGACTTTATTAACTGTGACTCTGCTTGCTCACTCTTAGAGGCAGGACAGGCCCTGGCACACGGTATAGATAATGATTCCCACAGGGGAAGGTGCACGCTCAAAAGTGAAGACCTGAGGTACAAATCTGGCCATTCTGGGTTCAGCTTAATACAGAGTATTTCCTTTGGCAATATAAATTTTATCTGCAATACCAAATTTCAGCTTCCTTTCTCTATTGAACAGTGTGCCTCAACTACTTAAGGGACTTGCCTGGCCTATTCCGCAGGGACTAGTGTGAGGGAGAGTAGCAGCAGAATTGTCATAGTCTGTGTGGGGTGGATTACTGTCCACCTCTGCAATAGTTCCAATCACTTTTTAGCTCACTGAGTGGAGTTTTCTTAATCTACAGTCTCCTATCTTAGTTGTTGGTAGCTTTAGGTTTTCTTAAGTCTGCTATGAGAACTACTTAGAAGTGTATCTATTGGCCCGGCACTGGTGGCTCCTGTCTGTAATCCTATATTCAGGAGGCTGAGGATCTTGGTTCAAAGCCATCCTGGGAAGAAAGGCCGTGAGACTGTTATCTCCAGTTAGCCAGCAAAAAGCCAGAAGTGGATATCATCTAGACTAGAGCACAAGAAGCCCACAACAGTTCTGATCTACTCCTGTGTGCAAGGTCTTTTCCTGCTGCCTTGCCTCAGTGCTGGCAGCTACTGGGCAGCTAAGCAGATCTCCCCACAGGCTTCTGAAACCAGTTGACACCAAGCACCTGGCACGTGGAAGGCAGGAAATGAGCTGAGCACTCAGTGTGGTGCTGAGTCCTGGCCTACAAATTGCAGCATCTGGAGAATAGGAGCCTGCTTTCTAGTCACCAGCATTAAGGGAGCACAGCACTCCTGTAGGTGCTGTGGCCTTGCCCCGAGTCTAGGCACAGAGGGCATGAACTCACAGTCAGTGTTTTCTTGAGCTACATCTATCAATCTATTTACATAAGTGTTACTAGTTTTTTTTTTTAACTCTTACAAAACTTCACCATATTGTGATTTTGAAGCATTAGTCAACAGAGGCTTTAACCACTCATGCCTTTACCCATGAAGATTTGACGTGTAGGAGCCCTTAAGTGGTGCATATGTGATCTTTATTTTTTTCTGTGGGGCTTGAACTCTGGGCCTGGGTGCTGTCCCTCAGCTCTTCAGCTCAAGGCTAGCGCTCTAACACTTGAGCCACAGCACCACTCCCAGCCTTTTCTGCTTATGTGGTACTAAGGAATCGAACCCAGGGCCTCAATCATGCAAGGCAAGCACTCTACCACTGAGCTACCTTCCCAGCCCAAGAAGCATTCCTTACAGTGGTGTTCAAGGCAAAGTCTGCTGGGAGACAGTCTGAGGAGAGAACCCTACATCCTTACTTGACCTGGGCTACTTCACTGTTAACCAAGGAACCCACTGGAGTCTAAGGGCTGTCTCCATACCATGGGACGTGTGAGTGCGCTGAGGGGGACAGTGGGGCGGGCTGCTCCCACACCTGGCAGGTGGGCAGCATCTGCCCCCTTCTGCACAGATCATGGTGTAAATACTAATTATTCCCAAAGCAAGGAGCAGCTCAGAACAAAGTTTCCAGTGTACTATCAGAGAACTACATTTGTTACACCTTCTTGCGTTCCATTTTCTAAAAGAGAATTTCTTTTGTAAAACTGATTTTTAAATGTACGTATCATTTAGATGACCTCACCAATGAAACATTAAAGATCCTTGAATAAAACAAGCTATACACCACAAATTGCAAAATAAAAACAAATGAATAAGTTTTTAGAGTAACAAGTACAAAACACTGATTTCAAAATGTAGGTTGACACAATTTTTCTGTCAGAGTAAATTATGACTTTCAATTTTCCCTTTTACCTAAGTGGGAGTATCAAAATCATGTAAATCACAGTATCACTTTGACTAATGGTGGTTTTGTTTTTCTGTCCCAGCAAAGGAACGATGACTTTATTGAGCTAGACTATAGCATTCTGCTACATGACATTGCGTCTCAGGTACAGTGGCTTTACCTTTCCTTGATGCCTCTACTAGAAACCGAGAAGCCCTTTGCAGCTAGGGAGCTAGACTGAATCTGACACTCGAGTTAGAATCTATGTAAATCCAGATAGGAGTGTATATTAGGTGTAGCTATTTTAATGGTTTTGTGCTGTTCTTTATGAACATGGCTTTATTGCCAAAAAAGTGCAACATCAATTTCACCCTGGCCCTGGTTTTCTTTGTTTGCAGGAGATTATTCCTTGGCAAATGCAAGTTCTCTGGCACCCACAATATGGCACAAAAGTAAAACATAACAGTCGCCTCCCAAAAGAAGCAGAGCTGGAATAAGCCAAGACCTTCAGGTGAGCGGAGTCAGACACATGCCTGTGACCTGCACACCAGTCCTCGCTGGGATCTAGCCTAGGGCCCGAGCAAACCCCAAAGTGTCACCACATAGAAACATCTTCATTAACTGTAACAGTGCCATGTGTATTCCATAATAAATGATTCCATTTCAGCCTTGTAATGTCTAATTACATTACATACTTACGGGACAGGGGCAGTGATGGTCTCTCTAAAAGCAACCTTGGGCTTTCCTGTGATACAAGGACAGCTGTATTCTCTTTCCATCCTCTAAAAACAAATGGGAGATAATTTTCTCACATGTTATTTGAAAAATATACTGAAAGAAAAAAAAATCTTAAGCATCTTAAATGCCTCAGTAACATTCAATGAAAATAGATAACACAATAGTCAATCTTTTTTTTTTGGTCAGTCTTGGGGCCTCAGCTCTGGGCCTGGGCGCTGTCCCTCAGCTCTTCAGCTCAGGGCTAGTGCTCTAACACTTGAGCCACAGCGCCACTCCCGGCTTTTCCTGCTTATGTGGTGCTGAGGAATCGAACCCCAGGGTCTCATGCATGCAAGGCAAGCGCTCTACCACTGAGCCACCTTCCCAGCCCCATAGTCAGTCTTAATGACTTAAGTGTAAGGATTAGCTACATGATGGGTAAACAACAGGAAGCTATCTATATAGAGCTATGTTTAATTTACACAGAGCACCACTCTGTACACTAAAATGTTATCATTGTTACACATGCACTAATCTAAATTTCTTGTCAGGATTTTCTATCTCAACTTCAGATAGACCAGGAGCTTGTGGCTCACACCTGTAATCCTAGTTGCTCAGAAGGGCTGAGATCTGAAGATCACTCTTTGAAGCCAACCCAGCAGAAAAGTCCGGAGACTCTAACCTCCAATTGACCACCAGAAAACTGGGAGTGGAACTATAGCTCGAAGTGGTAGAGTGCTAGCCTTTTATGAAAAAGCTCAGGAACAGTAGTGCTCTGAGCTCAAGCCCCATGACAAAAAAAAAAAAAAAAAAGGACAGGATCCCACCATAATTTCCAGAATATGTAGTTTCCATATACATGGTGTTTGTGTGTGTGTGTGTGTGTGTGTGTGTGTGTGTGTGTGTGTGTGTGTGTGTGTGTGAGCGCACACATACGAGTTAGAGTGAAAACTAAAGCTGTATGGTTGGGACCACTACTCATCTGTCTGCATTATAGGCATTTTCATCACAGACTTCAAAGAAATGACCCGCAGACTGGGTAAAACTACAGGCTGTCTTCCTAAGAGTGGGACAATCTACTTAACCTAGATAACCATAAAGTGAGGATGGGTGGTTGAGCCTTGAGTCTAGAAGTCCACAATGTTCAACAAGATGCAGAGATCAACACTAAGGAGTCTGCAGGACGCAGGGGAAGAAGGAGTCAATAAGTTGATCAACACAGGGCACAAACCTCAGCAAAGCCTGCACGACTGTCACGTCCTTAGATTGAGCATGATCAGCTTTTACTCTTAAAATACATACCAGTACCAAAAATCCTTCAGCATAACTTCCTTATTACTCATTACCTGGGCATAAATCTCCAGGTGCAGTTCTCCCATTCCAGATACAATTGTCTCTTTGCTTTCAGTATCAAAGTAGACTTTAAATGTTGGATCTTCTCTTGTAAACCTGGCAATTCCTTTGGAAAATTTTTCCAGATCGTTCTTTAAAGGAGAAAGAAAGGTTATTTTACTAAACATAAAAAGCAAGATTACTTTTGGAGGAATTTTAGTGAATTTAAATGTATCAGTAATTAAGAAAGATGATCAACATTGAGTTCTACTCCATACCTTTATGCATACACGTGCACACGCACACATGCGCTTGCATGCACACATGACTTTGATCCCACATCCAAAAGATGAGAAGACAACTAGGTGAATATGATTTCCTCTCACATCAAGACCCGTGCCTTTCCTATTATACACACAAAATCTGTCTATTGGTAGAAAACTACCCAGTAAGTAGACAGAAGTCTGGTACATTTCAGAAGTTCTACACATGAATAAACACAATCAAAAGAATTAGCATGTTTACTAAGATACTTTTGTATATTCAAGTCGATGAACAACCCACTAAGACAGGCAAATGTCAAGACTTTTTGCTTTGTGAGCAAGCTCGGTGGATATGATTCAGCTTTTCTCTGATATAATCCACACACTCAGTGGAATAACAGCCACGCCTAAACCCCAAAGGAAAAGATGCCTTAGTCCCCACCAAACCTGTGAGCCATTTCATGACAGGGGACATCACAGGTGGGGTCAAGGCTAAATGTCTGTCATGGACTTTGGATTGAGGAGTGAAGCAGAGGAGCACCTTTCACTTCTAACCCTGTAAAAATCACACAGCTTTACATGTGAGCCATGGGAGCTCACTGAGGGAGGAGGTAAGGTTTGCCCTTGGTCAAATTTCAGAGAAGCTGAAATGATTCTGCTGTCACTTCAACTTGCCTTTTCTGTAACAAAAAAAGTCTAGGGCATCTCAAGGATCCTCACTATAGATGAAGTAGTACCCGTCAGAATGTATCTCACAGGACAGTTTACGAGACTATGTTCTTTGAGTGGTTAATTCAAGGTGACGAGAGGTCACGGAAAGCTTGCTTGATACGCCAGGCTCCATATCTGCTGTGACGGCCACAGCAGCCTGTGACGGAACAATTATGGCTCAAGATCAGGTTAATGCTGATGGGCAGTCACGTGCATGAGGAACATCCCAGCAATTGTGCCTCTGCTAAGTGCTCAAAAGTGTAAAGTGGGTGTCAAACTCAGCATGAAAGTATTTTAAAATCTAAAGGTGAAAAATCATATTTGAAAGAAAATGTTTGAAAGGCTCTGACATTTACTTCCTGACTAGCACACAGTTGAGAGGTGTTCTAGAAGGCATGAGGCATCTGTCCAGTACTCCATGGTGCTTTCCAGTGAGCAGCTGCATGGCAATGCAGGACAGACACCTTCATCTCCTCTCCTTCAGGACTCTGAGATTCCAAGAAGGGCTCCCATGACATTCAGTAATAGTTATGACACAGTGATTGAATACCAACCTACCATCAATGTCTTCAAACACACTGAGAAGTTATTACTAAATAGACCTGCATATTTAAAAAGGTCGTCTGATTACGAAGAGGAGACAGAGACTATAGGACAGCTGTTTATCACCAGGTACTATGACAAAGAGGGAGACTCAAGTTTGTACTGTGGTATACTAAGCCATACTTCCAGACTCCTACCTTGTTAGAAGGCTTCATTGCCACTGAAATGACAGGATCAGGAATATGAATTGATTCCTACAATATATATTATATGCATCAGGAAGGATTAATGTGACTTTACAACAAAAACAACAGCCAACATCTTTAGGCTACATAATGGTTTGTCTTTATAATAAATAAGTACTCTGTCATAAGATATTAGTAAATGTGTACACTTACATGATACCCTCTCCTCCAGTTTTCTGACTACATCACTGCCATGAATCCAAAATGCTGACACATAGAATTCTTATTGGCTGGTATCTATACTTGCACTGTAACTTCCTGGTAAGTTACTTTATTAATCAAAATAGGCTATGAATAAGAAGACAGGGCTGTAGTCTTCATACAAATGCAATCAGATGGCCAATCACAGCTCTGAGAAGTAGAAAATAAACTCATTTCTAAAAAAAAATCACTAAACATTTGGAAAGAAGATGAGACCTCCCGGGCCAGGGCCAGCTGCCAGACACGGTGGCAGTGAGCTCTTAGCAGGAAGTCATTTTCTTCACAGCCTAGGAAGTGCTGCCGACAGGAACAAATCACTTCATATCACTGTAGTTAGTATTTAGATATGGATTTTGTCAATACAAAATATTCCGATCTACATCTCAGAAACTAGGCAGTCTGCGGCAGGATCGTTAGGCTCAAGGCACAGCTGTCTATGGTAGGAACTCTGGGTCCAAGGTGCAGGCCATCTATGGTAGCACCTCCAAGTTTAAAGTGCAGGCTGTCTGCAGTAGGACCTCAGGTACAGAGCTACTTATCAGGTGTTAGTTAGTAGACAGCTTTTCCCTACCTTAAGTGTGGAAGACTGCAGAACAGCTTTACTAAGGAAAAGTAGGCCATTCATTAGCTTACACATGACATTTCTCTAATACTGAAAAAGCTATATGACACTGGAGCCATAAGAACGTGAAGTAATGGAATTTGCTATGGTTCTTTCTTGGAAGTATTAAAATACATAACCAACTCTTGGAGTTCAAATGATAGGTAGCTTTGCTGTAAATGGCTTACCATAGAAAGGCCACTGTTGTCTTTGTTTGTGAACGTGTCTCCACTTGCACAGTCAATGCCAAACAATGCACAGATGTCACCAGCATACACCTCCTCGACATCCTGGAGAGGGTACACAATGACACTATGAGTAATACAGATCAAGACCCAGCTGCAGAGTAGCTACAAGGAACATGCTCTACATGAATCCAGACATTCTAACTACAAATTCCAGAGGAAGGGCCAGTGCCACACTAGGATGTATCTTGGATAAGGTCTTTAAAACAGCATGTGTCTCCATGGACAAGATTTTACATTAAGTGAGAAGCTCAGGGTGCTGGCTTCATTACCTAAGACATGAACTCTGAACAAAACATTGTGATCACTGTTGTCAAGTTCTTTCATGGAACGAAAGGCAGACTATGTGCCATTACTGTTAGGCAACGAGACTGTGCACGACAGGCACACTCAAAACAACTGCAAAGGAAGTTTTGAAAACAGCAGCAGAAGAATGGAACCCGCTATACTAAAAATACTTTCCATTCTCACAGACGCAAACAGTCAGGCAAACACAGGAAAGCAAAGAACAAAGCCATCTCTGCGTCCACGCTCCTGAGCCATTGTTTGCTCCTTCACCCAGCTCCTTCACAGCAGCTGTGGCAGACGGAGCACACAGGCCGTGTGCCCCCATGCTTCCGGGCTGGGCACAGAGCTGCCTCTGGCCCCTACAAGAGTTGTGACAGTCATGGACCCTCCAGCCTGCCCTCTGCTGCCCAATCCCAAACAGCCCAACTCCAACCTTCATCTTCCAAGGGACAAAAATTACAGCTCCCCCCAGTGTATAGGATTTTGCTTAACTGACAATCTTCTTTGGAAGGACAGAGCT